CCCACGTTGCTCTCAAGAACCCTGAAGTACTGAGGGTGTTAAGGTGCCTGTACCTTCATTTCAGTAGGTTGCTAATGCAGAGGTGTGTATAGATCACAGCTATTATTTTACTCTTGATAAGCTACCTTAGCCAGAGTAGATTATCATGTTCATTTCAATAATTGAACTGGATTGAATGCATATTAATTGCAAATAGAAGATAGGCCACAATTCTAACAGCTGTACAGTAACAGTGGAAGTTAATATGAAGTCATACAGTAACAGGGTTCAATGAAACGTGTGCACTAAAGGGAAAGCAACATGTGCACTAGCTGGATGCTACTACCTACTAAAGCTCTTATTGATGTGTCAGTGTCAACCAGAGTATATTTATAAATGTTTATTCTTTTAATCAAACTATTGTCTCTCATTCGTTTGTGTCATTTAAGGTATACTGTATGCTTTGGAATTCTCATTGTTAGTTTAAATACATTTTCTCACTTTTTCATGTATACACCGAGATTTCACAAAATGTTTGGTCATGGAAATTTGTTTTAAAGTCATGGAAATCCATTGGTCAAAATGTGTATGAACCCTGAGATTTAGTCTGCGCTGACTGGAATCTGAGTGTATCTAACAGCACACGTGTGTCTCCTCCTATCCAGGCCTGGGAGTCAGATGAGGCCATCGAGGAGGACATGCCTGAGTCTCCAGGAGCTGAGAAACAGGACAAGGAGAAAGACCACCGGGACTCCAAGAAGAGCAGGGGTGAGGCCGAAGGAGAAAACGTACCGTCACGCTGTTTATTGTTAGTGTCTGTAAGAAATACACTCACGTCCTGCTCCTCTTCCTCAGTGATGAAGACCTCTGTGAGTATGGACTCATCAGACCAGAAGAAAACCCGGCTGAAGCTCAAGAAGTTCCTGACGCGTCGACCCACCTACCAGGCCGTCCGGGACAAGGGGTACATCAAAGGTATTCAGACGGAACACATGGGCTACTGCGTCCCACATGTGGAGACGTGTCACTGTTTGAACTGGTACCAGCAGACGCATGACAAGCTAGAGACGGCCGTGTGTTTGGTGGTTCACAGATCAGGTGTTCGGCTGCAGTCTCACCAGTCTGTGCCAGCGGGAGACCACGTCAGTACCTAACTTTGTCACAACGTGTATCGACCATGTGGAGAACACAGGTATGAGCAGCACCCAGGACAGAAATGTGTTGATGTTTTGATTTGTCCCGCCTCAATAACTAGAGTAGAGCTTTAGTGCTGTCTTAGAGGTGGGAGTTACCAAACACTTGGTATGGTTCATGTTGTTTGATGCATCACCTTTTAAACACACATCATCATTCATAAGGGTCTGTGACATCGTGCTCGTTCTGTTGGCTTTGAGCCAGCTAGTGGCAGGCAGGCAGACAGACAGGCAGACAG